GATGGATGGAGTGGTGCTGTTCAGAAGTGCCTTTCTGGACACCATCCCAGAACTGAAAGATTGTTCCATTAAAAGCACCCTTGACTTTGCTGCGGGGATTGCCAGCGGTAGATCGATAGGCCTGATTCAGTCAGCTGGGTAGGAGGCCAGAAAGCTCCAGCTTGTAAAGAACACATCAATAGAATTAGCAACAAGTAAAGTGTAAAATGGGTTTGTGAAAAAAAACAGGTCAAATGACGTGAATGAAAATGTTCACATCCAAGTATTTCTTACCCTCTCTGTACATAACAGGTTTATAAATGGTATCTATCAAACTGCAGTCCCTACAGCAAATAAATAAAACCCTCAAAAAAGCAATGAGGTATTCAGACCTTAGATATTTAAAAGAATTTAGGTGACACTTTATTGTGAGTGGTCCTTTTAGATGAAACAAACACTCAACAGACTCACAGTAACATGTCAAAAACATATGAGGGTTAAGATTAGGTTTTGGGTTGAGGTTAAGGTTAGGATTAGGGCCAGGGTTACGGTTAGGTTTTGGGTAAGGTTAGGTTTTGGGTATTGGAAGTAACTTATTAACAATACATCTACTTAATGTAAGTAATGTATCAACAGAACATCTACAAGATATTTACTTCAGTGTATTCAGATGCTGCACTACTGCTACTTCACTGATATGTTGTTGACGTGTTACTGATAATCTGTTAAGAGTTTATTAATCATCTACTGATTAGTGAAAGGACCACTCCAAATAAAGTGTTACTGAATTTTATGATCTATTTCATTTGAACACAAGGCATTACTTGAGATAGTAATAAGATAAAAATATACAAAATCATCTTGTACAGGGGATTTTCTATTTGGAGGTGGCTTTTGAAAAGAATCCTTTTTTTAGTTTAGATTTTTAGATGTAGATATCGTTTAATTTTCAAATAAAAACTGTATACAAAAAGTGGCTGCCCCACATTTGTGTTTCTGTCCAAGTGGTAGAGCCTTATTTTAGCCACACCCCTACATTTTAGAGCAGGAAGTGAGGCTGTATCCCCGTCCCCTCATGGCCACATGGCGAGCAGTTAGACCCCTTTTGATTTTGGGTTCGAAAAGTCTGGAACATTAGGAATTGTCACCACTGAAACACGTATTTTATGTAAGTAAACGTTTTTGTGTGTTTTAATAAAAAATAGTATGATTTCATGTGTGTACAACTTTTCAAAGCTGCATTTGCCAGTCTAGCACTATCATTTTTGAATTATGCGTAAAATTATTACTAAAATGGATAGTATTATGATTGTTTTGTTTGTTAGTGTTAAAATAAAATGTTTATTTATTTATTTCAATAAGTATGTTTTAGTTAAGGCATACGTTCACTCAAAGCAAAAGTAACTGTACTGTAAATGCAGTACTTCCTGGAGGAGAGACTTGGAAATGGTAAAAGTCTTAAGGAACAAAGTGTGAAATGTTAAAATTAGGCTCTATTAAACATCCAGCAAAGCTTGAATGAAAAAGCAAGATATAAATATATCAAAACACTGCTTTAAAAACACTTATCAGATGTATGTAAGAACTGTCTGGGCAGACACAGCAGTGCTGCTGGAGTTTTTAAACACTGTGTCCACTCGCTGTCCACTCTATTAGACACTCCTACCTTGTCAGTCCATCTTGTAGATGTAAAATCAGAGGCGATAGCTCATCTGCTGCTGCACAGTTTGTGTTGGTCATCGTCTAGTCCTTCATCAGTGGTCGCAGGACGCTGCCCACAGGATGTTATTACAGCCCACAGGACTGGTTGGTGGACTATACAGTCCAGCAGTGACACTGAGGTGTTTAAAAACTCCAGCAGCACTGCTGTGTCTGATCCACTCAGACCAGCACAACACACACCAACACACCACCACCACGTCAGTGTTACTGCAGTGCTGAGAATGATCCACTGCCAAATAGTACCTGCTCTGTGAGGGTCCATGGGGGTCCTGACCACTGAAGGTAACAGGGTAAAAGGGGGCTTACAAAGTATGCAGAGACACAGATGGACTACAGTCTGTAATTGCAGAACTACAAAGTGCACCTATATAGTAAGTGGAGCTGCTAAAATGGACAATGAGCGTAGAAACTAGGCGGTGGTCATAATGTTATGCCTGATTGGTGTATGTGCATACGTAACAAATGTAAGTTGGATATAAGTGGAATTCATGCATGCTAATATGTATACTTATATATATTTGAAATCCATATATTGCTATATATCAGATTTCCTCCTGGTGGGCTGCTTAACTAAGCACTACCCAAGATTAGGACCGCTTAGTTTACATCGAATGTGGTTCTAATTTACAAGTGTGAAGCGTGACAGCGCACTGGATTTAGTGGTCTGTAAGTAAGTGTGTGTGTGTAAGCATAGAGGAGAGAAAGTCTTCCAGGAACATAGTGAGATCATTTCACTTTAAAGTTACTCAAAGAAGTAAAAAAGGCATCTAAAAATAAGTTAAATATTCAACATTTTCCTACATCCATCATCCAGAAAGAGAAACATTAGATATTTAGAGTAATGTCACTCGCTAATTTATCCTTTTTTGCACTGCACCTTCTCTGGCCCAGCCAAAAGCGACAGCTTTATAAAGCTGTACTACATTATCCATACATTTCGTATGAGATTTTACAGCTAAGCTTGACAACAGGAACTGAGGAGAAGTCTAATCTGGAGGGCACTTTTGGCGTCCTGGAACTGTTAAAGTGGAACAAAAGACCTTTTTTGAGACCTGAGAACTGCCTTGGAAATCAGAGTTGAAAAGGAAGTGACGCTTATTTCTGGATCTGTGAGGAAGTGTCACCCTCTAGTGGCGCACTTGAGGAAAACATCTTTCCTAAATGGACCATTCTATTGAATTAGATCAAACTGAGATCCCACAGGAAAAGGACTTAAAAGACTTAACCTCAAGGCATTAGTACATATAGTAATAAGCTGAATATATACATCATCATTTAAAGGGTGCCTTTATTGATATTGATATTATAACTTATTATGAGTTTAATGTTTAAATAAAAGACCTTTGCTGTGTTTTCATGTCACTACCAAAGCACAAAGAGTTCATAGGCGGAGCCTTATTTTAACCACGCCCATGCATTTTAGAGCAGGAAGTGAGGCTGCATCCCTGTCCCTCAGGGCCACATGGTGAGCAGTTAGATCCCAGTGTTTTGAAGTAAATGTGTCCCAAAGTCTGAAAACCAATTTGTAACATCAAGAATTGTCACTACCAAAACACGTTTTCTGCAATTAAGTAAGCTTTTTTGGGTTTTAACGAGTAATATTATGATTTAATATGTGTATAACTGTTTAAAGCTGTGATTTTTAGTCATGTACTGGCTTGCGTGTTTGAGTTATGCTCAAAATTAGATAAAATTGTCACTACTGAAAGATTTGGTACAGTTTTGGGAATGTGTGTTTTGCTAGTGACAAAATTGAATATTTTTATAAAATAATTAAAGTATAGGGTCATTCAAAGCAAAAGGATTTTAGTCTAAAGTCCAAGTCAGTTAAAAGCCTGAAATGTGTTTTCAACACTGAATTTGAGCCAGTTTGGTAGAGTGATCCATACAGCAGGGAGATCCAACCTTAAATCTGTAGAGGGTCAGTCTGGCTGCAGGCTTTCCAAATAAACAAAGGCACACCTGATATCGGGCGGCACGGTGGTGCAGTGGGTAGCGCTGTCGCCTCACAGCAAGAATGGCCTGGGTTCGATTCCCGGCCGGGCGACCAGGGTCATTTCTGTGTGGTGTCTGCGTGGGTTTTCTCCGGGTACTCCGGTTTCCTCCCATAGTCCAAAGACATGCAGTCAGGCCGATTGGACATGCTAAATTGCCCCTAGGTGTGACTGTGTATGTCTGTCTGTCTGCCCTGCGATGGACTGGCGACCTGTCCAGGGTGTATCCTGCCTTCCGCCCAATGACAGCTGGGATAGGCTCCAGCACCCCACCGCGACCCAGTAGGATAAGCGGTTTAGATGATGTATGTATGTATACACCTGATATCACTTTTTAATCAGTGGGTGTCAGTCTTCAAACAACCGATCAAGTGTCCCACAGCTTTGTTCGAAGTCACGTGGGGCATATGTGGATAAGACTGGACGCCCCTGATATATTCTCACTGGTCACTATATTAGAAACATCTACTTTATGGGTTCATCTGTTATCATGCAATTTGTGTTAGCCATCCTCTAACCCTTTGTGAGAGGTCACTTTCTGACTATAGAGCTGCTCTTAGCTATGGCCATGCCACTACCAGGTCAGTGTCACTGCTGTGCTGAGAATGATCCACCACCCAAATAATACCTGGTCAGCAGCCAGGAAATTGACCATGAATGGGGTAGAAGGGGTAAATAAATTGTGCATGATAACTGAAGAGCTACAGTCTGCTGTTGGTGTTTCTAATAAAGTGGCCAGTAAGTTTATGCACAAGGTTGGTGTTTCTAATAAAGTGGCAAGTCAGTGGAAATACAAGGTTGGTGTTTCTAATAAAGTGGCAAGTCAGTGGCAGTACAAGCTATGTGTTTCTAAAAAAGTGGCCAGTAAGTAGAAGTACAAGGTAGGTCTTCCTAATAAATTAGCCAGTGAGTGGACATACAGTGTAGGTGTTTCTGATAAAGTGGACAACGTGTGTAAATACAAGGCAGGTGTTTTATAATTAAGTGGCCATTGAGAAGAAGTATAAGGTAGGTGTTTAGCAACCAATTGCTTTCCCTGTTTCTTTCCTGGATTTCTTAGAATTTGTGTTCTTCGGTCTGCACAAAACTGTTCCTGAGTACAACCTGAAGAGCTGGTATATGAAATATAGAATGTTTTATTATTCCCTGGCTATGTCTAACAGATGGCAAGATAAATATATGGATAAATTCATTACATAATTTCATTTTTTATGTACCCCACCTTGCTGGGATATGTAAATACACAAAAATATTCATTTTTCATTTTTTCTATTAAATATATGAGCAATACAAAACCAAACAAGGTACAGACAGCTGATACAAGTTTATTACAAATGATTTACTCATAATTAATCAATGTAATAAAAGTTGGACTAACAATTTGTAACTTACAAATATAGAATCATCAAATATTACATTAATACATCATACATATTTAACATTTAACATGTTTTAACTTGATTGTCCAGGAGCGCTAAGCACTACACCTCAGAATGCACCTAGAAACAGACACTATGTGCCACATAAAGAAAATACAATATTCTTTGCATAGGTCAGTATGATCATATAGAGCTTTGTGGTTAAAAATCTGTCATTATAAAATATGACACATTAAAGGGAGGGAGATTTTGAGGTCTTGTAAAAACAGGCAGTTTATCACAGTGGAAAGATCACACAATTTCTCACAATGAGCACAAACAATTGAAGTCAACCCTTCTTTCAGGTTCTGTGGAGCGCTGAAGCACGAGGTATACATTTTATCACACGATAACAAGACCACAATACGATCAAAGGAGCATTTGTTCCATCTGTTCCTACGAGACACCAAATGGTTGAACTGTACATATCCATTTTTTCCATTTCTACTTGTCTGACGAAAACTTATCCAATCACAGCATGTTCTTAAGGCAACGGCAAGACAGCACCAGTCAACTCAAACCTGGAAGATGGTTCCCTGTTTTGGGCAGTCCCAAAAGTACACAGACAGTGGACCACAAAAAAGACAAAAAAAAAAATTACATAGTTGTTTTCCATGTGAACACAAAAGATAGGCCATATTCTATCTGGACCACACAGAGTGGGCCATTAGGGTCAGATCAGAAAATGCAGTTTCTTTGATGCAGATTAATGCACAAACAACAGTACAGGTAGAGAACTTTCTCAGGGTCATTCTTAAAGGAGAATTTTTGTGTCTTTTCAGAATTTCTGGATAATTCATTAATTGAGATGTAAACAGTCATGCAGAGTTTTTTTAATGTGAACTGGTCACTGTCGCGCAACTTAACCAACTCTGATTTCGTTACAATAACACTGACAGTTACGATGGATCGTGATGTCTGCACACCTACAACAGACATTTTATTTACTATCCAAAACAACCAGTGAACCTTCATGTCCTCTAAGTCTTTATATCGTCGCTGTCAAAACAAAACCCTGTATCCCAATTTTGGTTGCTTATTAATTTTTTTTTTTTTATAATTTGGCATAATTTAAATTTAATTGTATCAAACTTTCTTGCTGAATGGACCAGCAAAAATGTTCCAATGTATCTTTTCATAACCTAATATTTTAATAACAGAAAAATAAAACAAAAAGCCTGGAGTCAAGACAGGGTATATGGAGTGCAATTATGTTCCCTAACTAAAGGTACGAAAAACATACCACCCTAGTGCAAGTATAGTACCTTTTTTCCCGATAGTGTAGCTTTTACAGGGAACTCTTTGGAGGTCTGGTTCCCATCACCACCATTGTGAACAGTTCTTACTCGGTAAGTTTTGTCTAGAACGGAGCATTTCACATCAAACTACTCTGAATGACTTTGTTTTCATCTTATAGGTGTAATTGTGCAGAAATTCTGAAAAATTGATGGAATTCCCCTTTGACCCTTAATCCCTCATAGAAATACTCAAGCATTTTTGCACCTCATTCCTATCTGCAGTGTACAGTTCTTTACTACAGATGATAATTGCCCTGTACTTAGAAAAGAACACAAAAGCCGCAAGACTTGAAAAGCACTTACAATAGAAGCCAATGGGCAGGAGCACAAAGTGCCTTTTGAGTCAACAGGCTTTCTGTTCATATACTAAATAAAGTGCACTGTATTAAAACGATTATTTGTGCTAATCCACCGTATTACAGAGGCAGCAGATAGAGATCAGGTTTAAAAACCTTTAAAACATCTTCTATTCATCACTCTCATAATGATAAACACTCATTTTATATATTAGTTACTGAAAAATTCTTACATACTGGGTAACAAACCTTCACATTAATAACTGAATAATAAGCCTGCGGTTTAAAGATGTTGACACATAGCATGTCTTACACAGATATCTTGAGAGGTTTTCTTGTGGTTGCTAATTTTAAGGCGGTTTCAGGTTGATATGTGTGTTTGTACTGAATCACAGGGGAAGGGACCACAGCTTAAGAAGTTCTATTATGGTGCATGAAAACAAAACAAGCTCAAACTGTAACAGAAGGAGCTCAATCACTCTAGTTTTAAACGTCCTCTCACCTCCTCCAGAAGAGAGACTTCCAGCTGGGAGGTGTTATGAGACTACACAGTACAAAGGCTGGAAAATCAAGTGAGATATTTGTAGTTTCTGTGTTCCTGAGGTTTAGTCTGGTAAATAAAGTACAAGAACACAGACTTAAATGTGCATAAATTCATCAGTCTTTAAAATCAATGACTATAAATATAAATGTATTCTGTAGTCCAGTATTCCATGAAAAGAAGTGGTCACTCGCTTTTCAAAAAATGTTAGCTGTAACAAAACAAACAAACCTAAAAAAATCTGACGTTTCTTTGTATTGCAAATAGGTCATTTTTCAGTAAACTAGACTTACATCAGTCTGAATAATAAAATAAATGAGAAATAAAATACATTTGTTATCTGTTTGTGGACAGAATATATCTAATCAAGGTAAGAATAAATGTTAAAAGGTGAAACGCTGGCGAAACTGGAAGCTGGTGCAGCTATTTGGAGATTTTTCTAATGGCGTTGGCAGCTAGCGTTTCCCTGCGGGTGGTGATGAAGGCCTGTTGTTTCTCGTAGTAAGCGGCCTCGTTAATGAACGTGGGGTACACTGGACTGGCACCTTCATAAGGGATAGTCCTGCCGTCAAACGTTTGGAACATTGGATCACCCGGGTTTAACGGCTCCCAGTCACAGTCCTACATGAGAGGGGGAGAGAGAGAGAGAGAGAGAGAGAGACAGACAGAGAGAGAGAGAGAGAGAGAGAGAGAGAGAGAGAGAGAACATGTTTTTGGTGGGAAATTGCTTAAACTTGAGTCACTGTGAGCACAGAGGGCGTCTAAGAGACTCACTCACAGTGAAAGCAAACAATGAGCCTACTCAAAGGAGTTTCTTAACACTGTAAAATCCACTATCACCATCGTATATCTACAGCAAACAAACACTAAAGGACATTCCACATATTCCACATATATATTCCACATTCCCAAGATTTTCTTTAAACTGTTTCTCAAGGTAAAATCCAAGTTTACCCAACTCATTTAAACCTTTAAACTGCAGTCTTATTATTTAGTAACTGATATTAATGATTCAGAAACTACAATGAAACTAATGTGTAGGTAGGGCCCACTGACACACCCATAGAATTGAAGGGATCCATGCTAAGACTAAATTGTCACAAAGGGGTCTTTTCATAATTTCCTTGTTCAGCTTGAATACCCTGAACAACTGCAATATGCATATTTTCTTTGTGATTGTCATTCTTTGTGATTAGGCTAAAAGAGTAAGCCCAAGCCTAGACTAACAGGTTTTTCATGGAAATTGACCACTGACACTGCAGTATAATATAAATCTAGACTGAAGACTGGCCTTCTAAGTGTTAATTCAAGTTCAGTTGGACACAGTTTGGGGATTTTGGTGAGTATTTTCTCTAGATATCAGAGCATTATAGGACTGTCACTCCTGATATTCATTTAAAACTACACTATGTACATTTTTGGGACCTCTCTGGTGCGGAAACACATTTTGTAATGTGGGTTGTGCTTTGGACCCCTTCCCCGAGCGGATGAATCTGATGATTGTGAGCGCTTTTAAAGAGTATTCAAACTCACTCTTCTAAGGATGTAAGTAAATTGTCACCATATCTTCATCCATATAACCTAAAAATCGAGTCAGACCATCTTTCTGAGCCTGTACGTGTGTCGTTAATACATAAAGACATATGACATGGTCTGAAATCTGACCTGGCGCCTTTTCAATTATTAATTTCACGCTTTACAGGGTGAATCGCAGCAGCACACAGATGCCATATTTTAGCCTGATTTTTTTCTTCTGGCTCAGTAATGCTACTTCTTTTCATTTTAACAAAATTGACACAGTGTAGCTTTAAGCAGTAGAACACAAGAGGGAGCGTGTTATTGTAAATAACGTCACACCTGTGATTCGATCACAGCTACAAGCTGTGATGTTCACGATAATAAACAACCTTGAGTGTTCTTTTGCTTTTATACAGCAGTTACAACAGTTAACAATTTTAGGTTCAGGTTAGCTTTTTCAGTATTTTCCCAAAATGTCGTTTAGAATGAATGGAAGATTTTATTAAAATTATTACCATGCAAACTGACAATTTATCATTGATATTTAACAATGTAAATTATTGTTATTTATTGAAAACATATTTTTTAATTGATGAGTTTTTTAAACCGATTAATCAAATTTAATCAATAAATTGTGACAGCCTTATTGCACTGTGTAATTGCATCTCTTTCCTTCTTTCTCTCTCCATCTCAAAGGAGCAGTAGGTCTGTATTATGTTTCGGGCGATGGCTAATACATTCCGTTCAACAGAGATATGGGAAGCTGTTAAAACATGGCACCCCATCATCACAGTGTCAGAACAGCGTGATTATGTAATACCTGTAGGTGTGGATGAACCATAGCTGTGATGTTGCCGTTGGTGTCTCTGGGGTAGTCCACTCTTTCATGCACCCTGAACACTTCTACAGAGCATGCTGGAAACTCCACACCTTTAAAATGTACAAAACACATGGCAGGTTAGTGAATCATACACAACAAATGCATCCAAAGAAGATATGTGCAAATGCAATGGAGTATTAAATAAGCTGTTTTTTCACAGTGAAGTATTGTGATTTTACACAGTTGGATCTAAGGGTGTGTTTATTGTGCGAGGTCATTGCACTGTTTGTTCAGCTTTGGATTTCTCAGTAGGGTTGGGTTCACTCTGTCCACATGCTCTGTAGGAAATATGAAGGAAAACTGGTCAAATGCCACTGACTGTACTCACTATCCTGTGGGAGGTGTTTTTTTTTTTGGTGCTTTATTCTCAGATAACCTCATACAGCCAAAAACACACAAGAAGAAATAGGCTGAATGAACGTCTTTAACCCAGAGGGTCTGTATGTGGGCTTGCACTTCAATTCATATTAGAGGTGGAGCTATTAGAAGTGGCCCTCAGTTCTCAGTCTTTTAGGTGAACTCTGGGAGATGACTCCTGTCTTTTTCAAGTCAAACCATTAGATGCTATACGCTCGCTTGAAGTGCATCCAGTCAAACTGCTCATCCATAGCTTTACATGTTACATCTGGAACCATATGTTAGCAAGAATAGTGAAATACTTGACTCCCTGTGTATATTGTAAGTAACATTAACAGACTGCACAGCTGTTTGTTATGATGGCATCATGTACTGAGAATATGCAATTAACAGCCATAACCCAGGGCTCCTGAGTGGTGTGACCGTTTAAGGGCTGACCCTATCATCAGGAGATCACAAGTTCAATCCTTAGTGGTCTGTGGCCAGGAGTCCAAGAGAGCACAACTAGCCTTGCTCTCTCTGGGTAGTCGGGTGCCCCCTGTCTCCCCCTATGACACAGTGCAATGCTAGCCAGTGCAGGCATCTGTTAGCTGATGTAACAGAACTGGCGGTTGGTGCTTTTTCTCCAAGTGCGTTCAACTATCCAATGATGTTGTGTTGATGGCAGCTCAAAAAGATGCGGTGGCTTGCTAGGTTTTGTGTGACTGGGGGAGTCTTAACTAGTGGGTGGGGTTGGATACGTTCAAACTGGGAGAAAACTGTGGAAAAACAAACAGGCATAACCTACAAAATGCAGGTTATTTGAGGAAATATCAAAATAACAAACACTGGCTTTCCTTCACTAAGTAAGCAACATCTACACCAATCAGCCATAATATTAAAACCACCCTCTTGTTTCTACACTCACTGTCCATTTTAGCAGCTCCTCTTACCATATAGGTGCACTTTGTAGTCCTACAACTACAGACTGTAGTCCAGCTGTGTCTCTGCATACTTTGTTAGCCTCTTTTACTCTGTTCTTCAATGGTCAGGACTCCCATAGGACCACCACAGAGCAGGTATTATTTAGGCAGTGGATCATTCTCAACACTGCAGTGACACTGACATGGTGGTGGTGTGTTAGTGTGCGTTGTGCTGATATGAGTGGATCAGACACAGCAGTGCTGCTGGAGTTTTAAACACCTCAGTGTCACTGCTGGACTGAGAACAGTCCACCAACCAAAAATATCCAGCCAACAGCGTCCTGTGACCACTGATGAAGGACTAGAGGAGGGCCAACACAAACTGCACAGCAGCAGATGAGCTATCGTCTCTGACTTTACATCTACAAGGTGGACTGACAAGGTAGGAGTGTCTAATAGAGTGGACATAGAGTGGACACAGTGTTTAAAAACTACAGCAACACTGCTGTGTCTGATCCACTCATACCAGCACAACACATACTAACACACCACATCACTGTGGTGGTCCTGTGGGGGTCCTGACCACTAAAGAACAGGGTAAAAGGGGAAAACAAAATATGCAGAGAAACAGATGGACTACAGTCTGTAACTGTAGGACTACAAAGTGCACCTATATAGTATGAGGAGCTGATAAAATGGACAGTGAGTGTAGATACAAGAAGATGGTTTTAATCTTACGGCTGATTGGTGCATGTTGTAAATGCAATCGCAGTAAACCAAAAGGTGAAGCAAACATCTAGAAGGAATGAATAACTCTCAAATATCAAACATCTCTAACTCAAATATTTGTGATCTTATTTCTTATGTATTCTTTGTATTGTTTCTTATTCTTTGGGGGCCTAGAAAGCCCTGAGAGTTCCCCAATGTCTCACATCACATACAGTATTAAATGAATAATTTATAGTAGTTACCAAATAATTCACAGTAGTTACTGAATAATAAGTCTAGGGTTAAAGGGTTTAGCTTCCCTAAGAAAAAGGTTGCTTGATTCAGATATGTACAGTGGTTTCACATCAGTCACATACATTAAATCAATAGAATTCTTGCAAAAAGTAGCTAAACTGAACGAAAGTAATTGTGTTGCTGTAATTTACTTCATTCAAAAATGTATTTTACAACGTGCACTGTATTTTACAATGGAATCATTCTAGAAAATAAGTAAAAGTTAAGATTTTAACCCTTTAATGCTGGCAATGATGGCAAAAAGTGACTACATGCCACCTTTTAATTTACTCTTTGCCTTTAATATCATGAACTCTCAATGATGATGACAATGATGATAAAGTTGAAACTAGATTTTTATTTTGTTTGTGTAACAAACTTCTATTTTGATCAAACAAGTATATGAACAGAAATAAGTGATGGGCATTCTTGCTCTCATCAGTGAGTAAGATCTGACCAATAGTCAGCTCTTTAGGCTCCTAAACTGCTCTTCATTCAGTAGTGCCGTCAGTTTTTTTGATTTGCCAAAACGAGCCATGCTATAATTTCAGTGCTATAATTTTTTTATTTCGATAAAACATTAGTTTGTTTTCTAATTGAACTCTTGTGGTACATTTGTTCTTTAAAAAATTGAATGAGTCAGATGTTGATAAGTTGCCTCACTGAATGAATTTTAAGAGGCAGATGAGCAAAATGCAGGCAAATCCATCAACTAATCATTACCAAACAAAGGTAGGTAGAATAATAATTAGGAGAAACACAGCTAATAATTACATGCAAACTGCCAAGACCAAAATCAGAGACAGGCAAACACAACAAGCAGCAGGTGGTGTTGGGGATAATAAAGGGGGCAGAACCACTTGCTTTGTCTTAATTGATAATAAAGGCCCCTCAATGCCTCAGTGTCGGCTTACAAGCGTAACCCCTTGCTTACAGTAATAACCAAGACGTTGTTAAGGTGCCCCCTGGTGGCCGCAGGGCCCTAAGCAGATGGCTATGTTACTTAGTAGTTAGAACCAGCTGTGCTGATTTTACAACTCTGGGGCAGATTTTAATGAGTTAAAGGGGACAAGACAAAGACTCCGAAGAGCACACTGCCTTGGTTTTCAGCGTCTTAGAGATCAGTGGATCATATTGTATCATCAACAGCTGCAAAAGGCCTCTTGTCCTTTAAAATCCTTGTAGTATCACAGCTAGCAGTGTTTTCCATCCTTTTATTCCATATTCTTCTATTGTTCTTCTGCTTGTTGCTTCGGCCTCCACACGGTTAAACTTTCACAAGTGGAAAACACGTTGCAGCTCTCACAGGGAAGCATTCATCCACAACAACGTGGCCCCTGCACGCTACAGCGGTATTGCAAAACTCAACGCGCTCCTAATGACATGGAAACTAACCAACTTCCAACAAGTATTCTATTCAGCAGACACAGAGGCAGAACCAGACGAGCCTTGGCTCAAACTGCATGTTTCCGTTTAAAAAAGAAGACAGACAAAAAGTGTGTGGGTCTAAATGTGTGTGTGTGTGTGTGTTCTGAGAGGGTGAAACAGCTGACGTTACATGTGACTGCCCGAGGTCGCCTTTTTGCATCGAGTCCATGTGAGTGCACAGCGAAAAAAAAAAAAGAAGAGCAAAGGCTTGGAAGCACTGGCCTTCAGAAAGGTATAAATGTCGAGGTTCTAAAGTTCAAACTCAAAACAAAGCATGCTGACTCAGTGTCCTGAATGTGCAGTTATGATTCAGAAAAAAATGCCACTCGTTACTGATGTAGTGACACAGCTGACCACAGGGTTGACCAAGGGAATGTCTCAGTGCAAATTATGTAAGGATGTTTGTAAAGCCGAAGTCTCTTGAATTTCTGTATGTTATGACTAACGTACCATCCGGACGCACAGTAGCTTATTAGCTCTGTTGCATGATGCGTGATGTATTTGTTTTATGCAATGACTTGGTTCTGTACTGTTGACAGACATGGTTAGGCTAACGTTGCTGTTAATACAGCATAAAGATTTGGGCACAAATCTTCTTACCATTTTAATATTTCTGGCCCTCAAACCCATTGTTTCTTTATGATAATCCCCCAAAGGAACATAACAGCTCGCTGGGTAATTGGTATGCCAATCCCTGATTAGCTTTTATTAACCTTACCGCTATTAAACAGCTCGATGAAGTCCAGAGCGTGCTTCATTATCGCCCGCATGGACTCGAAGATATTGCTTCTCAAAACACCTTGAGGCTGAGGACCCACTTCAAGACCTAAAACACACATCACATACCTGTAATGTACATTGTACAGCTCAGCACTAACAGGCAACACAAGCTGCTTTGGTTTGTCAAAGTGTGTCAAGGTTTGCCACAAATTTTGTGTAGTACAGCATTGTTCAATCTTATGATTGTGTCTAGAAGCATAACTGTACCTGTCATCTGTATGTTTTAAGTTTAATGAGTGCATCTCTGCTCATCTGAGTCAAATTAGTGTTCCTTTCTGGTGGAATACAACATTAACATAATGTTGGCCTGTTTACAGGGGAATTTCTGGAAATTCATGGTAGAGAAACTTACCAGTTTGAACTTCTTTGTAAGTGATAGGAACCAGGAGTGATGTCTACACTCAAACACAGGCACTTTATTTGCTATCCAAAATGACCAGTGAATCTATATGTGTCTTCTGAGTGTTTTATGTAATGTTGATAATGGTATCATAGTGGTAAATTAGAAAAATTTAGTTTTATTTGAGGACTGTTTTGCCTTACAACACTCTGCATGGACCTCTCCACCATGTATGCATTTTAAAAATACATTTTAGGCCAAATGCTTAAAGCTATTGTATAACAATGTCTCTGGCATCAGGCAATGACTCTGTAAATTTCTCTAGAATGGTGCACTCATCAAAACATTCCAAATGGCTATGGCTACATCATAATGATTATGCGGAAAATTTGAAAATCAGTGTAATTCCCCTTTAAATTAAGAATGGAAAGTATTGACAGTTTACTAAATTGTTTATCACCCTGTATTATTGAAAAATGAATTTTGATACATTGTGCACCATTAGTCATATGGAAAAAAGTAACAAAAGCTTTGTCATCTCTGTTCATCTGAGTAAAATTAGCATGCATACAGGCAGAATACAACACCAGTGTAATGTTGGCCTTTTTAAAATAAAGAATCTAAAGTATGAGAATGTTAGAATATACACACTAGAGTATTGAAAAAGCATTGAACTTTGTTGATTTGGGTCAACTTAGCACACCTACGGGCAGAATACAATATCAATGTAATGTGAAAGAATGGAAAATATCAAAAGTTAAAGCACTGAATTGTTTACCACATTGTAGTGCTAGGAAAAGCACTAAACTTTCGATATATCATGAACCACTAGTACATATGTAACAAAAAGGTAACAAAAGCTTTGGCAATGCTGACAATCTTTAAAAAGATCTGTCAATCTTTAAATTTGTTAACCCCCTATAGGTTAACTAGCTGATTTAAGTGGCTGAGTCAGGGTGTTAAAGATTTTGAACAGCTGAATATTTCAGGACTTTGTACTCACCTACAGGGTGTTTGGCCACTGAGCGGGTGGTTGAATACTTGAGTTGAGGGTGCTCGTTCAGCAGTACCATGCAGCTCTCTGGAGCAATGGCTTTCTGGACAGAAGACACACACACACAGGTGACCCTGTAAGCTGACACTGCACTGACCCCACTGGCCTCTGCTATTCAAATCACAAGGCTAACTTTATAAGAATACTGGAATACACAAATGGGCGACTTAAACATTATAACAAATACAGGGACTGGGTAGACAAGGGAGCCAGAATTAAGCGCATTAGGTGCCCAAAGTGCTGCTTAAATGACCATTTTAAGATGAGCATGAGCACAAGCTGCTGTTTAATTACATTCTTTAATTACAAATGATAGCACAATGATAAGCCAATATTACCCCCTTAAAGTCTCAGGCTCACATCCTGAGGCTTATAATTTCAGTAATTACACGAACTACAAAATTACAGTTATTCTTAAGTTATAGAAGTCTGTTAGAAGTTCAGACCTGCTGCTGAGTTCTGGCCATTTAAGGGGTTAAGGACACTTAAAATAATTGTTGGCTGATGCTTTTGACAATGCTATTAATACAGAAAACACAAAAATCTGCTGTTCTCCATTAATAGCACTTTTTCTCGATACTGTTGTAGCAAACATATGAATAGGAATATGTTTCACATCAGACATATTGTTATTGTTACTCTGATTAAACAAAACAATAAAAAGGTCTTACCATTGAAAACTGCTCTCTGAATGAGCCTGTGTGTTCACTTGATCACAGTGCATTCAGTAATAAAGGAAGCCTCATGCGTCTTTTATACAGTGATAGTAAACACAGTAGCACACAGAAAGCTGTGATTCTACGTTCTGATTCTGATATGTTTTACTGTGGCCAGTGTTAACATGCATGTACTGTGACTCCTCTGGTGACAGAGGTGATTCGCTTCTCTGACTGGACTGCCAGCAAGGCGTTTGTTTGATAGGGTTAAAGTACTTTTCTAAAAATAATTTTAAGTTTGACTCATTGAGGGACTGCTCCATTTACACAACTCTCTGTTATACATGAGCTGTACTATTCTTAATGTACAACATGGGTTATTGAAGGGCTCTTTAGTGAAGATAATGGTTCTTCAGATTGATGGATAGTGTGTTGTATATGGTTCAATACAAAAACTTCTTGAAAATGGTTCTATATAGCACTAAAAAACATTCTTCGTAACAATAGCAGATCCCTTTTTGGGTAGAATATGTTCTATATACAATCATATAGAATATGTTCTCCATCAATCAAGTACAATTTCACCATGCAAAGATCCATTAAAGCATGACATGTTTCTATATAAAATTCATGGTTCTAGCATGTTGGTGGGCAGACTTGAGGGTTACCATCAGCACAAAATGCATGTTTCCTATACTTTAGATGGACGTGACTTGCTAACTTGCTTCCGTGAAAGTCATTTAATTACACTCCCTCCATCAACTGCATTTCTGTGCATAATGTGTTTCTTCTGACACCTTATGCTGAAGGCAAAGAAGAGATTTTAATAACTACAGCAAGCTGAAAACCTGTTTTACAACTTTGCGGAAACTGTTAGGAATGAATTTATTGGGTGTGGTTCAGCATGAACTGTGTGTAGATAAAGGAAAGACTAATCTTATCCAGACATACATTTATAGAACTTTTTCAACCTCTTTAGTAAGTCACGTTTTGCTAACCATGCAAAAAGTGTAGCATATAGGATTTGCGCCCATGCCAGAGAGTAAAGTTCAACTCCATATATACGAATGAAGAAGGTATTGCTGGAAGGCAGTGAACTCGCTGGAAAACTGTGTAAACAAGCTGTGAAATAAAAACAAATAATACTCCCCCAACAATAAAACTGACATGTGACTCTTCTTCTGTTTCCTTCATTCCCAACTTTTTCAACAGACACTGAAGTTAAATCTTTCACAGTTAAAGCCATGGCACTCCTGTAAAATGTTACTGTGTAACAGAAACTTGTGCCAGATGACTCATCTTTAGCTGCTGAAGCTCTTACTTTGATGTAGTGCACCATCTGAAGGTTGAAGTGGTCTGTGGAGCTCTCCAAGATGAGGGTGGAGCCCATGTTGGATGTGGTGTTGTGGAGGTCAAAGATGACATCATAGGCGTCTGGGCTACCCTTGGGCCCAAAGATCTGATTAACTTCCTTGGCTCTCTGAACTTCATATGGTAGCCCGTCTCCACTGGGTGTGCTGTGGAAAGATCCGCATTGTTAATCCAAAAATCGTGCAAAACAAAAATCTAATTACATTACACAATTTAATCACATTATACAAAGTGACCCAAATATAGCAGATCAGGCAAGACACTGGGTGTCCAACGTTTACTTGTTTAGTTTTGCACTGAAGTGGTGGCGGTAATGTAGACTGAAAATTACACTCCACCAAGCATTGTAATTTAAAATGATGAGTTTAAGTCAGGGGTGTCCAATCTTATCCACAAAGGGCTGCTGTGGCTGCAGGTTTTCATTCCAACAAACAGCAGATCACCTGATCAGCAGTTTGAAGACTGAAACCAGCTGAGTAAAAGTGGAATCAGGTGTGCTCCAGCTTGTTTAGAGTGAAAACCTGAAGCCACACCGGCCCTTTGTGGATAAGATTGGACACCCCTGGTTTAAGTGGTCATAAATACTGATGAAGTCTGAAAGAGATCTAATTAAATGATGATCAAAATGCAACATTTTTGGATTTTTGAAATAGCAAAATGTTTACAACTACACAAATAATGGTAAAGATACCCTACACCAGACCCAGCGTCATTTAGATCATTTAATGTGGGCAAATCCCCACTGTCCAACCTTCATGCCCCACTAAACCCACTACTTTTTATAAAGGCTTCTACAGTCGCAGGAGGCAAAAACAAAGTGGAACACAAGTTTGTGCTGCTGCTCCTTGTTCTGACTGCATTTTAGGGACAGATGTGTTGTATGTTGAGAAAAGATAAATCAGCAGATTCAGCAATAGACCTTTGATGATTTTCTGCAAATATGGCTTTTTTTGTTGATTCTCTCCTGAAAGTGAAGCTCTAGATCTACCATACATTTATCACCTGTATCTTCTCATTAATAAATAATTATATAGATAACAGGTGCTGGGATGGAGAAACCTGAAAGAGACCACACGGGCTGTACAAATGCTTTGTCAACATGCAAATCAGAAAGACAAAATGCCCTTTCAGCATACACTCTAACATATGTGCCCTGTGCAGGGTGGATTGTATTCCAGTGCTGGGGAGCTGAACAATGGAGCTTCCTCAACCTCGATTCATCACTACCACCCTGCTTTCAAAGGCTTTGCACGGTCCAGATGAATGGTGAGTACATCATTTTGCCTTTTCAAATGGAAAGCATCAAAGCTGTACTCAAAGCACTTCTAAGCAGTCAAACAATAAAACACTAATTGTGTGTATTGTTTGCTTCAAATTGCGCCTAACTGAGAGTTTGGCTGGTGAACATGGAGACGATCAAAATGTAAGTTCACGTTAAATGACATGACTTTTGTGTTCAATACTGCCATAATAGGAACTGCAGTGAGTAGCTTTCTTATAACCTGCTTTGAGTTTCAGGAACTTCACAGAACAATACAGTTACCATGACACACTTTAGGTGGCATCCAGTTTCCTCTTAAGTCTAACATGATCCCCTAATGTCTAACATAGAGCCCTGTGCAAAATATAGAGTCTGACCTTTCATTTATTTCATTTCCAGTCAAAACAGCCATTAAATACAAGTTACTTATTTATCAGTATCAGCAGTAGATATATATTTAACAGAAAATTACACAGAAGCCTCAACAACTAAATATATTATAAAATGTTTCACTATTGACTGTATCCACTTTTGCCTTTTTACAGCTTGTGTTCCTTTCAGGAGACTTGCTTTCAGTTTTTCAAAGAAATCTGCAACCACACTTTCAAAGTTCAGTCTTAGAAGCTGGTTGCATTTTCTGCTTCTCACAACTCAAGTGATCCCAATTGCAACTTTAGACTCATCAGGTCATAAAATCTTACTCATCTCAGATGTCCAGTTTTGGCATTCTAGCGTTAATGTCCATTTCCTTTTCTCAGTAAGGGTTTCTTGACAGCTGCACATCCTTTCACACTCATAGTGTTGAGCTGTCTTCTCACAGTGGAAAGATGGACAGAAACACCTGCAGATCTGAAGCAAGAGTGGAGCTTGATTTTCTCCTCTCTCGTAAGAAAGTTTTTAAGTGATGTTCATCTGGTGGGACCAGGTCTTGCACTGTAGTTAGTCTGATTTTGTCTATAGCTTGTGTGGGACAGGAGTTGAAAAACATTTAGTATTAGTATAAAACACTAACTGTGTGTAGTGTTTGTTCAATTTTTTTGACGGAGAGTTTGCTTACATATACATTTATAAGAAACAGATGGAAACTGTAGTCTGTAATTGCAGTACAGTATATATATATATATATATATATACGCTCATAGTCCATTGCATTGTGTCAGCTCCACTTACCATATAGGTAAGTAGCTCTACAATTACAATTACAGACTACAATATCCATCTGGGTATCTTATACATAGACATATATATATATACACACACACATGTGGATCAGGAGTTTTAAACACCTCAGTGTCACTGCTGGACTGAGAATAGTCCACCAACCAAAAATATCCAGCCAACAGCGTCCTGTGACCACTGATGAAGGATTAAAGGATGACCAACACAAATTGTGCAGCAGCAGATGAGCTATCGACTCTGACTTTACATCTACAAGGTGGACTGACAAGGTAGGAGTAGAATAGAGTGGACATTGAGTGGACACTGTGTTTAAAAACTCCAGCAGCACTGCTGTGTCTGATCCACTCATACCAGCACAACACACACCAACACACCACCACCACTTCAATGTTACTGCAGTGCTGAGAATGAATCCACCACCCAAATAGTATCTGCTCTGTGAGGGTCCATGGAGGTCCTGACCACTGAAGAACAGGGTAAAAGGGGGCTAACAAAGTATGCAGAGAAACAGATGGACTACAGTCTGTAATTGTAGAACTACAATATATATATATATATATATATATATATATATATATATATATTCCTTTCCTCCAATAATTCTAGAATGCACTTGGACCGTGGATATTTTGTTAGTAAGCTGTGAAAGACTAGGCTTGAGGAAAACCACAATGAAATGTGCTATATTTAGCCTTTAATGTAGCCTCCCATAAATAGAGCGCACGTTCTCAGCTGCACAGCGTTCCAGTCAGCAATGCAAGTCACGTTTCACTCACGTTTTTCGACTTAAAATGTCAAGCTGAGATCAGCTGTGCAGCTGCCCTGCTTCTTCCACGCTGGCTGTGCTGGCAGCTTCTACGGACAAGCAGCGAAGTTTTGCAAGAGTCTGAAGTACAGCCCCTTTAACGCGTGTTATCGCGAACAGCGCCCCCAGATTACAGCGCTGTTCTCCGCTGAGGAAAACAAGCCGGACCTCGCTAAGAGGATTTAAAGCAGGCTCAGACCGCCGGAGCAGCGGGCTGAGTGACACTAGCCGGAACACCAGCTGCCAGTGTGTTTACCTGAGGTTTTCCGGAGTGAAGGCTCTGTTCAGGTCCGTGTCGATGTATCTCGAGCACTTCTCCACGGCTCTGGGGTTTGTTATGAAGGCTCTGACGGCCACTCCGCTCCTCTCGATCTCCGCGCGGTTCTTCATCCACATATTGACCAGCGTGACGCCGGACATCTCGTTCCCGTGCGTGCCGCCGAAGATAGCCACCCGCTCGGCTTGAGGAAAACACGAGGCGTTACCGCGCGAGCTCATGGCGAGCTGTCACCTGCGGAGGTTCTGCCTGAGGAACGCAACAGTTTAGAGCCGAGGTGGGTCCAGCGCCACCAAGTTAACCGCGCTGTCAGAGTCCACTACTGGGTCCTGTGGTCGATGAGCTTGGTATTATATAACAGCCCCGCTCGGCTGTCATGCTCACGCTCGGGGCATAACACCGCTGTGTTGACTACGTTAGGCTTCGGTGGGCTGGGCTTCCATGCCCCTCCCACTGCTCGGACAGAGGAACAAACACACAGCGTTGGTATCCAGCACAAAGGAAGGCTTTCTGATAGTGTCCAGCTTTTCAGCCTCAGCTTCCATACTAAGAGGAGAAAAAAGGCTAGTATTAATGATGAAATATATACAGCAGTAGCCACCAGCACTGCTCCTGAAGATACCTTACTGCAGACCCCACCTGATCTGTAGAAGTTCGGCTGAATGGGGAGTGTTAAAGTGGAATTCCACCAGTTTTTCAAAATTTCTGAATAATTCAGTCCTTGAGATGTAAACAGAGCCATTCAGAGTGGTTTGATGTGATGTTCACTGTAAACATGCAGACTTGCCATGTCTACAACACAAATATAGCTATTTTACTTACTATCCAAAACCACCAGTGTTCAACACATGTTCAGGGTTTTTTATATGTAATGTCAGTGACGGTAAAATAGTCACAGAACTAAAAAATAAGTTTTATTTGGTGACACCCTGCATGTATCTCTCCACCATGAATGGTTATTAAAATACAAAACCTATCACAAAATAATATATCTCAAACACTTCAGACGACAAACCACTCTGAATGAGTTTGTTTACATCTCAACCATTTAATTATGCAGTTTCCCTTTAAATTTGGGTTGGGGATGAAACCTGCAGGAAGGTAAAGGTAGATCTCCAGGAGAAGGGTTAGTGACCACTGATATATAATTGTGACGTGTAGGATGTTTTGCTTCTGCAAAAAAGTGACTAATTAAAGGAAAAACCAACATGAGGTGTCTCAGTAAAATGTCCACCACAAGCCACCAGAACAGCTTCAGTGTGCCTTAGCGTAGATTCTGCAAGTCTCTGAAACTGTTCAGGAGGGGTGAAACACTATTTTTCCAAAAAAAACAGTGACCCCTCCTGTCCTGTGTATGGGGCATTGTTATCACAGAAAAGTCCATTTCCATCAGTATAGAATGGAACCTTTCATTATAGGATGAAAGTGCTGAGTGCAAATAACTTTTGCAGTGTGACCTTTCCCTGTAAGGCAGGGGTGCACAACTCCAGTCCTGTAGGGCCAATGTCCAGCAGAGTTCAGTGATTTACCTGCTCAAACACAACTGATTTTGCTCATGTTAATTGCCAGGTATAGTGGGCGTCTTTAAGAGGGGAACTACCAAACTGTCCTGGACTCCAGCCCTCGTAGACCAGAGTTGTACACCCTTGATCTAAGGGAACAAGCCAAACCATGCAAGCAAAATGAACCCCACAGCATAACAGGGTCACCAGGCTCCCTCACTGTTGGGGTCCAACATTCAGGCCTGTACTGTTTGTTTCTCACATGCACTTCTTCTTGTATCCCACTTGTGGAGAATATGGTTAAGGATGACTCATCTGACCGTATCATTGTTTTCCACATCTTTGTAGACCAGTGTTTATGATTTCTACACCACTGAACTCTCAAATGTGTATTTGTTTTTGTAATAAGGCCTTTATGCACTGCAACCTCACCATAATATCTTTCCCTATGTAGCTACAGACTTTTCTATGATCACGTCCTGCGTTGACATCTGTTCTTCCTTACATATTGCACTAATGCACAAGCATCATGGTCATCGAATATGCTCTTTTGACCACAGTTTCCAACCAAATGTACAGATGTCTGTTCCATAGATTTAAATGCAGATGTCTCTTTAGTCACTGTTTCTGTTGAAACATTATCCAGTTGAGCAGTCTTCATGACTGAAGCTCCTGTCATCCGTGCCTCAATAGCAAACCAACTTTCAAAGCCACTTTTCCTCTTTTCCTCGTGCCCATAAATGAGGTCAGCTTGGCATGACCATGCACTACATACAGAGCATGATAGTATGTTTGGTGCTTAATTTTATTATGCAGTACATCTGCCTGGAAGCATCTGCACTCAAGTCATTTATTAAGTTTTTTTTTTCTAAATTTGTAACCAATCTGTATATATTGTTCATTCTGAGATGATTTTATGTTGATTAAATAATACTGTATCCTTTAGGTTATTCATTTTTGCCATTATTTAAAATAAGTAACACTGTATTATGGTTTTCTTTTGATGAGGTATAATTAGTAATTGTCCAGACTACAAATAAAACTACAAAAATGAATAAATTCTGTATTTCTCAGAATTGAAAGCTTGCTCGTACAATACAATGAAGTTTTAATCCTGCACTATGTAAGATTTATTTGTTAAAATTGAAAGAAGTAGAAGTATTGAGTAATAAACACAATAAGATATGGTGTGCCTGCGCTGCTGCGAGTAAAGCCTGAAATAATAATATGAAAGTCAGAGGCGTCTAAGTGGATTTTGATGGAGTTTTCCAGACCACGTCTTTACTTATTAGAAGTATATTCAAATATTTATTTTTCAGATTTCACAATTCTGTTTCAATGAATTAGTATTCAAAAAAATATTCAGGTTCAAATTTTCAGTGCTCAAATCTAATTGATCAAATTTAACCTTAAAAAATACAAATGAACAGCACCCAGGAAACCCAAGGATAAACAAAAGCAATCAAGTACAAACCTAAATGAACTCATATCTAGCCTGTCAGTGCACAGTCTGCCAGTGTCTGCAACATACAAAACCACAGGAAACAAGAAGAGGAAGTAGAAGTCAAGTTAATGATACCAGTGGCGCTTTGGTAAGTACCTTTACTCAATGCTGTGTTATGGTTACAGTCTCACTGTATTTACATATTAGGGGAAAATGACTGAAGCACTTCAGTGATACTGCTAGAAGACAAGTGGTGTGTTCTTCTTGTATGCTATGACTCAAACAGCACTTATTTTAAAGAATCTGTTGTCCACCTCAAAGCCTTAGTTCTAAGTTCTAAAAGGTCCTTCATTGCTTCAGTTGACAGTTCAGATACTAATGATAGCCATAAATAATAGAAAACTGTTCATTATTATTTTAAAAAAAGTTTTTGGCTACTTCCTTACGCATTTTGTTTTCCCAACAAGACTAGTGAAATACATTTCAAAATTATTCATAAAATATATCCCTGTAATTCTCTCTTGTCAGAACGTACAGACACAGATGAATTGTGTACCTTTTGTAAAGAAGAAAGTGAATCAGTAGTTCGCTTGTTTTATGACTGTATCTTTGTATCTCTTTCTGGTCTCAGCTAATTTTATTTCTTTTTTCTCCTGTACCTCAAACTCACACCTTTACAGTGACAGAGATCAAGTGTTATTACTTAATATCCAATACTGCTCTTGAATGCATTTTATTCATAAACTTTCTAATTGAATTCCTAAAATGTCATTTTTGAAATGAAACATTGGATTACTTCCCTTAAACTGATAAATTATAAGAAGAGCAACACTTTTCATAGACATGTTTGCAACATATTTTGATTCCCACAATGTCTGATTATCATTGTGATATTTATTATTTATCTATTTTGTTTTTTTGCTTGTTTGCTGCTGTTAATTTACCCATTTAGTGTAATAGTGATGTATGTTGTAGTGATGTGTGTTATAATTGTTATGAATAATTGCATCAATAAAAAAACGTAAATCATACTCAATTTATTGTTTTAGACAACCATGTCACACATTCAGGTGGAAAAGCGTTGGTTTATAAACAGTGACCTATCAAAAAACAAAAACATCCCTTTACCTCACATAAGGCGTGTTAAGAGCTAGCTCTGAAACAGCAAATAAACTATATTCAACAATATTATCTATAAATCTTACTTAAAAAATACTTCCAGTGTACAACAGCTCAGATTTCAATTGGTTGGTTTTATCAGTCAAGGCGAAATAAACGCGGATAGAGGAATGTCGTAACACAGATCAGTGTAAAGAGTAGCTAATGTTTAAACACACTGTTCAACTCATTCAATGAGTACTAGCTACAGGGAGATTCATTCGAAAGAGGCCCCGAATATTCTGTAATAACTCTCGCTAGGACGAAGCAATCTGAACAAAACAACGTGCAATGAGCTCCTCAGTATATGGAGCTTCGAACAAGCCGGGATGCCCCTGTGTCGGAGCGATGAGGTAGGCGCCACACAGCTGTTGCGATGTTTAACCTCTGTTTGCAACTTCAGGTGAATAACCCCCGTACCCCTTCATGTCGATTACACATACGTCAAGGTATGTAGTTGGTGTATTTTTTGGTCCAGATTGCTTCATACTAACAGGAGTTACAACAGAATATTCGAGGCCTCTTTCGAGTGAATCTCCCTGTAGCTATCTAAGAGAAAATGTGATACATAAACTGGATGAGCTTGTAGGTGCAAACTGTCAGAATAATTAAATCAAATATCCATCTCTATATTCATCTGATATAGAGTCCAAAGCAGCTAGCTAACTGCTAACATGCTGCTGCAAAACAGCTAGCTGTGCTAGCCTGCTAACAGCTACTAATGTTACCTAGATTTGTTCAACACATAACGTCACTTACATTGACTATATGTGTAAATATGTTATCTAGAATAAATAACTTAATGACTTAAAGATCTTGCTTACTGAGTCTTCGTTTTATATGTGGTATGTAATGCAGCGAGAGTACTATCAACCATGAACTGGGTCATTACAGTATGGAAAGTATGGAGGTAATTGTGTTGCAAAACTTGAGAACTTGTAGGACCTAATCCGAGAACCTGTAGAATAGAATCTGTACTTGTGTTTTTTATGTGAGCACTTGTAAACTAAAATTTGTACTTGGAGTTTTGATTCGAGATAAATACAAATATATACATAAATACAAATATATTTATCTGTACAAAAAATAATTTTTGGCTCTATAACCACAAATTCGAGCTTGCAATCTCTTAAACTAACAGCACAACTTCACATCTGCCTGCCTTGACTTTTGCAACACTTCTCTCAGTACATTTGTTGCGAAACTGATTTGTGCACTTGTAACTGCTTCACTGAGGGATATGAAACAAGGCGGGGGCAGGGGCCAGTGTGAGGCGTTATTTGT